ACACACACACACACAGCCTCTTCCCAATATGCGTTTTCGCAATTTACATATATGCAAAAACGCATAAAAAAGTGCAAAATTTCCAGCTCTTCAAAAAATTTTTTGTTTTTTTTTTTTTTTTGATTCTGATTTTTTGGTAAAGTTGAGTATTTCTCATGCGCACCTGCAGGGAATTTTATTTTCAAACAGAATTAAGACCTCACTTGAAAATAGAATACCCCAACGAAGTTTCAGCATCGCATCTTATAAGCGAAATAGCCATTTCGCTCCAAATATCTTTGAAGTGCCCTAAATCGTGGCGCAAGTGCGTGTTGAAGCTCAGTTTAGATATATGACTTCCCATGTGGCCGAAAAATATTTCGACAAAATTTCAGCCACTGCTTGCCGGCAAATCTTCAAGTAAGCATAGTGCCAGACTCGAACTTTGACGTGACCGTGCGCGCAATAAAAGCGCGCGCAGTGGCTGAATTTTAAATCTTTAGTTCATACAAGCACACAGAATATTCTTGCAAAGATTCAGCTTTCTAACTTGCCTGGTTCCCAAAATCGATTCTCGCCAAAGAAATTTGCATATTTTTCGGGGGGTCCGCACGCGGAATCTAGCCGCGTATGAAAGATGATTTTAAAGCGGGAGGGTGACACATAAGGTGGAAGTATGACCCCAAAATTTCAGTCTTTCAGCCTTCTTGATTGCTGAGTTGAAAATGGGTAACAACGGTCACTCGGTTCCGAACACACGCACACGGACAACAGTATGCGTTTTTGCTCGCCATAGCGCTGCAAAACGCATAAAAACACATATTGGCAAGAGTTCTCTGTTATGTGTGTGTATGTATTGTGTGTGTGTGTCTCTTCACTTAGTGCGGGTTTGTATTGTGCTACCTACAACCCACATTTTCTTCCAGCTTTTAGCACCTGAAAGTCGTAAACGAGTTGAATGAATTTACTACAGTTGTGAGCATCAGCTTCTTCGGAAAAAGTTTGCATACGTTCAGACATTAGGCTTCAGGCACGTGTACTTAACCATGTTTTTTTTGTTAAAAATACATGTCAAACGTTAATATATGTAATCATAAAAAAAACAGAACAAGATATGTTGCTTGTCACTGTGTTGCTTGTTACGTTTGGCCTACTACTGTCGCAGGGTTTCCAGGATCTGTTATGCTTCCCGCAACTTACGTTCTACCTTACACAAAACAGGGTCCGCTGAAAATTCCGCTATGGAGCTCGCTTGCTTCCCGGCTTATGACAGACATCGATCGTGGATTTCTCCATCACTTGCGATTTTTAATGCCCAAGGGGAAATTTAAGCTTTTACGTGAAAGTTAAAGGGGAATTTAAGCTTTTTTCACCAGGCTTTCACGTGATCGTGAAGATCAAACGTACTTGGGGACTGAATTCGAAATCATTGGATCGCACGTGGAGAGAGGACATTTTCCAAAAATTTCAGCTTCTTAGCTTTTGTGGTCCTCAAGTCAGCAGTTTTCCTGCCAAAACTTTCATTCGCTTGCACGTGAGAACCAAACGTATTTATGAACTAAATTTGAAATCTTTAAATTGTACGTGGACATAGAACATCCTTCCAAAATTTCAACTTTCAGCTTTTCTGTTTTCCGAGTTAGCAATTTCCCCGTCAGAACCCTCACTTATCTAACATTCAAACGTGCGTGAAAGTTAATATCATGTTCTTGGGGTCGCACCTGATTAAGGAACCAAATTCCAGCATCTGCGCTTACCTGGTTACCGAGTTAAAATACGTGGAAACATGAACACACCTATACATACACCCACATGCTCACACAAACAAACATACATACATCCACACATACTCTCTAGTTCGTAAAAACAAGCGTTTTCGCATTTGCATAAATTCAATAAAACACATAAAAATCAAGACATACATATAAACACACACGCACACAAGGTCATCAATATATATATATCACACGCAAAAACGCACCAGAAGTAAAAGGCACAGCTGACCCTTTATAAATATTAGGGAACGACGGAAATTCTAGACAATTTTCATCCCTATTTCACTTTTGTTCGGCTTTTGAATGATATTATTCCTTTTTGGCTTCAGTTTCTTCCTCAGTGTCAGTACATTCTTCGCTTTCTTGATCATCCGAAGAGCCGCCACCGTAAGAATCGTCGCTGTCACTCCACTCAGCATCATTCAGTTCGCCCTCATACCTAAAATTAATGATATAAGCAATTAGATCGTGAAATATGAATTTTGCGTAAGCTGAAAAATAGACGTGTTACCTGTCGGAGTATGATGGATTTTGATTGTAATACTCGTCCTCATGAGCCTGGCGTCCATAAGCATGTCTTCGCGCTGCAAATACATACGGTTTGCAACTGTCAGAACAAATCCATTTGTCACGGAAATTCAGTAAATGAAAACAAAATCCAAAAAGCTGGAAAAATATCTAAGTGCTACGTGGGTACCGATCAGTCATAATTCTAAAAAAAAAATATATGATGAGGTTATAGAAATAAATAAAAGCTTAGAAATAAATAGTTTCTTCGTTAATGAGTGCTAGCTGGAGATATGTCACTTAAGACCGAAGGCCTGACAACGTACCGTAGATCCATCTCAGCGACATCTCTAGTGCCGAATTCTCACATTGATTGTCTAGATTTTCCTGTAATCTTGGTATTTGAAATCAGGCTGCAAACCTGAGACACTGAAATCCTTCATTTCGCTGGTACCATAACCACATTTCGGGCACGGCAATTCCTTCACAATTTTGTCATATTTAAAACCTTTCTTACGGATGTGCTCTGCACAGAAACAAATTTTACACCGCATACACGTATACAGACCGTGACGATTGCAAGAAAGACCTGAAAAAAAAAAAAAACCAATTTGAAACTTTCTTCAGAATTCGGAAAAAAAATACATTCACTACCATTTTAGCACGCCAAGAATTCGGTACTCAAACTGAAAAGACTGGCAACTAACACTTGTAATTTTCACGATCAATCTGCTGACAGGAAGCTTGGTGTTCAAACTGGTCATCTTCGCACAAATAATTTTGGCAGAATGCACACTGGTACACCCTTCCACCTGAAAATGTGTTTTTACCACGCTTCTCAACGAAGAAATTTGATCCTCCACAGAGTCATCCTACACTGCACATAATTTGCTGTCAATCGATGTTTATGCTGTGGTGCCATGCAAAAGTGGTGATATGCTCAATCATGACTCTTCACCCACTTCCTGCTTAATTCACGCCCACGGCTTATGTTTCCTTAAGAAAGTTACCCAATACACTTCAGGAAATCCCGATCACGTTTTGAATTATTACTGCCCCACGGTTTGCTCCTATCATTCGCTAAAGAATAGAATTCTTAATAAATTTAGCTTTACGGACATGTTGAACATTTACAAAAATGCGCAAATTTGGCTTTTTATTTTCAAATTGTATGACAGAACAAGTCCTATCCCACGAAAGCCGTAAACCTGTACTGGAATTAAGCACTACCGTGGTACGAGAAACAAAAAAAAAAAAAGAACTTTATTACAGGTCTCCGAAAATACAAGATTGAACTTCTTTTACGGTTTCCAGGAATAAGTCTCCAAAAATTCGCTTTCTGATCTCCGCACTTCCAGCTTTAAATCATTTGGACTGTTAAAAATGTAAACAGCTCTTGCTTTCTTTTAGCAGCTCTTGCTGTTAAAACGTAATCAGATTGCACGGAAATCCAGGACTACGTTTATCGCCGTTTTGTTCAATGCTTTCTCGTCAACCGCAGAAAGCCGATGAGTTTGGAGTTTGCGGCAAATCGGGATGTTATAAGTCTGCTATCTTCAGAAATGCACCCATGAAAAAACTAGGTATTGACGTCCGTCTTTCACTTCCTTAATTTCACGCCCTCAACCATTTTGCAGGTGTTTTTTGTCTTCGCAGCATAGCTGTTTGAACTCTCGAGTCTACTGGCAGGAACTAGCACGAACGCAGTAGGCGTACAGCTCGAGTCTAGTTGAACAAAGTGTAGCGAACACTAGAAATTTGCGTAGTTAAACAAGTTCGAAAGGATGGAACATGATGCGCTTATTTTGTACATCGCTAATACGGGCGAACAGTTTGGAAATGAGGTAGAAGATGTTGGCATTGATAAACTGTCATCTTATTGCCAGCAATCTTTGTTAAAAACTTTCTTTTTTTGATGAATGCCGATACTGAATTGCAAGAAATGTATGCCCGGAACGGTTACCGTGATCCCAGACTCCTCGTTTGCATTCCAGACACTGAGCATCACGCAGCGGGCAAGTGCAAGGATGTGTCGTTAGGCATTTTCTTCCGTGACAGATGAATGCCTCACAAAAGTCGCACACTGCACCCGTCATTTGCATACCTGGAAGGTAATATACAGTACAAAGCAACAAACATCAAAATGACCAGCGCGACCACGTTTTCTTGCGCCACGTTGTCCTGAGGCAAAAAATGTGTTGTACTGGCACAAATAGAAGATAAATGTAGTTTATCATGATGTACTTTCAACTCGCTTTCCGTACGTTAAGTCTAAGTCAAAATTACTCCACATTTCACCCTTCCTAAGAGACAGGGGGTGCTGGGAAGTGATCCATGTAATCACATCCTGCCACCAGCAGCTTGTGTTGGCAAAGCGGCCAGCCGTCCGAGGATTGCTTAAGAAGCAGGCTGAAATCGATTCGATGTTCCGGCGTGCTCGACACGTCACTACCAATTTACAAGCAAGACGATTCGGAGAGGTTCCCAGGCGAATTTGAAACAACAGTTCGAGTACTAATATTGAATATTTGTGTAACATACTATTACTGTATATTTAAGCCTACAAGTACATGCAAGGCACTGATAGCTTGTTATCTTTTGAAGTATTAAAGGTCTCTTTCATCAGGAGATGAATTAGATGTTTTACGAAAGCTTTCTCCTTTGTATCATCATAATTCATCTTTCTTATCATAGGTGTGCCGCCGAGGCATCTGACTGACGGACTGTTATGGTCAAAAAGATGAATTATGTCGGCACAAAAAAAAGGTACCAGTTGAGAATGGCATAAATAGGGGGTTGGATCTAATCCTCCTCCTGGGTGTGCTCCAGCATCCCTATGTAAACCAACAGTTTCTTTATTCAGGACCCCGGCACTAATTACGGCTACGAGGGAAGGGCTACCACTATATCAGGACGAGTACGCCAACGTATTGCCCAGCCTGTTTATTTGGCGTATTTCTTAAGCCAGGTCCAATAAAAATGGTCGACTGGAATCACACTCCTCCAAATGTAATTCCATACCCCTCGTGCATATGTAGCGCAACCAGCGGTGCTGAGAAAAATGGTACTTTGCTCGGGGGGAGGGG